CTGACCAATCTCAGCCCATCGCGTATTTCTGAGGGAGGGGCTTCATAAAAGAAGGAAATGATCAGCCCGTTTCTCAGAGATGGGACAGAGAGGTGTGGAATAAAGGTAAATTATGTGAAAAAAATAATGCGTTTTTTTAAAAACGAAGCGTTAACATGTTAGACTGCACCCCATAAACACAATCAAGCCTAGAAAAAACCCAGTGAACCACCCCTTTAACACTCACCTCAGCTGTGAGATGTAGGGCAGACACTGCAAGAATCCCTTCACTTCACTCTCTTCATCTGTCCAGTCTCTCAGCTCTACTGGTTTCTTCTCTGTTTGGAGTTTCAGCACTTCTAGGAGGATGGAGCTCTTTCTCTCTGAGAGCTTTATGCTCCAGACTGCAGGAGCTGACTCATAAATTGGCTGTAATGCTGGAAGGACACTCCTGCCTGTTTGAGTCTCATAGTCCTTCACATGTGAACACAGATCCAGCAGGAAATTACATTTCTCATAATCCACAGATGATAGCAGTTTCTTCACAGTTTCTTCTATTGTCTCTTTCTGATGGAGCGCAGCTTGCAGACACAAATCCAGTATCAATAATTTCTTTCTTTTGTCCCATGATCCAGCTGTTTTATGGTGTAGTACAGCAAATCTAAAGAGTGAACAAGATTCTGTTAGAGATGTGTTACTGTTATACATTTTATTGTGCAACAGTTGGGCCCTGGAAGTAAAGACAGATCAACCATGAACTAAATTAATTAAACTTAATTTCTGAAAATCAATTCTTAACAGGCAGTTTCTGGTGAAGAACTACAGAACTCATGACCCTGCAGACAAATATCCATGAATCACAGAATCACAAAATGGTGCCAAAGGAGCTCCTGCCTTAAAGCACTGTGAATGATGTAATGATTATGTGTCTTCCTACACTTGAAACTACTTGTATACATCAGTTTTTTTAATGACTTCAAACCACATCATTTGTATACTCAGAATCAACAACTTAAAATCATTATTATTTTTTTTGTCTGCAATGCTTTGTAGGTTGGTAGTTAATTCCTTCATTAAAGACATTGTACACAGTTTTTTTTCTTTTACCTTTGTCCTGCACTTTAAAAACACACTTGTCTTTTTGTGTGTTTTTAAATACTTTTTTGTTTCAAATAAAAGTTTGTAATGTTGCGTTTCACCTTAGAGCTGGTTGGCTTTGGTTCATGGCTTAAAATTCTTTAACAATGTCTTTTTAATAATCCCTATGTGAAAAATGAATGGGAAAAATACTTATGGATCCAAGGCCACTGAAAAGAGGACATGCACTGTTGCACTCTATTGTGAAAATGACCAAAGGACAATGATTTGATAAAAGAGTTTAGTCAGATATAAACTAATACAAAATAAGATCAGCAGGTGACAGAAGAGCATTTCATCCTATATGGTTTGTGGTGTGAAGCCACGTGTCGTGTCCGGAGGTACCGTTTCTAGTAGTGGTCGACCGATATATCGCCAAGGCCGATATATCGGCCGATATCTGCCAATTTTTCAAATATCGGCATCGGCCGATAAGTTTTTCTGTTTGGCCGATGTGTTTGAGGCGGGACTTTTATTTTGACGGCGCCGAGAACGGCTGCGGCAGCGCCTGAGCACACAGTGCTCACATTCTCCCTCTTGTTCGCTGTTGTCATTCAGTTCTGTCTAATACGGATAGAAGTCTATCTAATAATCAGATAGAACTGTTAAACAAAGGAATTAAAATGTATACAAAAAAGTATTATAACGATTGCTTTAATATTATTAAAGGCAAACATTATAATACTTTCTCGTTTGCCG